ATTTATTGAAACAGTTTTTTTACTTAAAAAAAAAACAATATTTTCTTTCAAATAACAAAAATGTTATGGTTATTCGCAGCTACAGGTTTACAGGTTATTTTACATTAAACATGTAAATTTAAAAAAAAGTAAACACAGTTTATTTTAGCCATTTTTTGATATTTTCATGTATTTCAAAAATACAGGAAAAAAATTGTGAAATAAAAAGGAATAAAACTTTAAAATTACAGATTTTTTTTACAGTGTATGCACAAAAAGGCAGCAAACACTGGTCTGATACAGTCATTGCGCCTCTGTAAGGTATAATTGTCACAGGATTACAAATGGCCACTTATTGTCCCCAGGTCTCTCATCACTATATCTTAATCCCTCTTTTCTGTTCACAGTTATTGCTTAAAAATAAAGCTCTACCTCACTGCTCAACTCCTAATTTATTTTCCTATTTTGGTGCCTTTCTGTTCTTCTGTGGTTACAGGGATTTGTATAGAGCACTATGACCATCTTGCACTCCTTTTGCAGCTGGTTGTAATTTAAGTGATCTTAAAATAACAATAAATCAATCTAATACCCATATTTGTATAATCTTCAACTGTTAATTGATTATTAAAGTCTATGTATTGATGTAATAAAACCAACTTCACTTCTGGTGCACAGAATATAGAAGTCTCCTCTAACATTGAGTCATCTTTTTGTACAATCCCTGTCTCACTTGTCTCCACAGTTTTAAAAGCTTCTTTAACCTGTCTCTTTCCATTGACACTGCACTAGAGGTGCAGGTCAAAATCTATAAGCACTGGGGATTCACATGGGTTCTCTAACTTACTATTACATTTGCTTCTGTACAGCTGGCAAATGCGTTGTCTTTGCATCACTGTCTATTTCAATGCATCAACTGTCACTCAGGGCTTCATAATTTATGCAAAGTGATGCAGGAAGGCAGTGATGTTCTGCAAGTGAATTTTACCTCATTTCAACTCAGCATATAGCGCTCCTCCTCCTCCTCCTCCTCCTCCTCTTCTTCCTCCTCCACTCATCTCCGTCCTGTGTGCTTCGCTTTCCCCGATCTCGCTGCACTTGCCTCTTTTAATAAATTGTGTATGCGTTTCTCGCCCTAAAACTGCCTCGTGCTCTCTGCTGCATCCTTTATTTGTCAGTTCTGATTACTAGTCTCTATTTTTTTTTATTATTCTAACTCTTTCTCTCTCCTTGCTTTCCCTCCCTTTTTACCCCTTTCCTTCTCCCTCCCTACCCCTTTCCTCCTCCCCGTAGGTGAGGGACATGGCAGGCACCACCCTCAGTGGTTTACTGCAGTGCCAGTTCTTCCCTCTGGACTCCAGTCTGCAGACACAGCTCCAGACGCTGAGTCAGACTCGCCTCCCCAGGGCCAGAGGAGAGCTGGCCTCCACAGGTACACGCACCCACACACATACGCGCGCGCACACACACACACACACACACATTTATGTGCACATCAGAATCACACAGTGAGGCAATCACAGTAATGCTTGCCCTATTACCCTTTCTTATCCCAGGGGAATTGTGAACCTTGAAATTCTAAGACTCATTTTAACTCTCCATTGGTGTTTGTGTGTCTGTGTGTGTGTATGAGTAGACTTAGTGCGGCGCCATGCTGGAGTGCTCGGCCTCAGTGCGTGCATCCTATCGAGCCCCTACGACGTTCCAGACTGGATGCCTCAGATACTGATGGACCTGAGTGACCATCTCAACGACCCACAGCCTATAGAGGTACACAAACACACATTAATACACACACACACAGACAGACATTCACATACAAACATCTAGCTCAGTGTGAGCTGAAAGAATACAATTTCATTGTCCAATTGAGGAGAAAATTGTGTCTTTGGCCTTACTTCAGGCATGAAGAAGACATACAATGTAATCCGTAGTGCGGAGTTTGAATAATACATTACAGTGATGGGGAGCCAATGATGATTATAGTTTAGTGCTTCTCTGGTTGCAAAGTGAAAGTGATGAGAAAGAAAATACAATTGAATACAGTTAAAAAATATATTTGAGAATAGATCAATTACCCAGTCTGCTACTAAAGCTACTGAACAGAATAGTTGTACAAATTTTATATGTAAATGTAGTAGTAGCAGGTTTTGTGCAGAATAATAAGGGATACAATGTCTTGGTTTCTTTAGGCAGACTAACTAATCTGTAGTCAAAATCAGTTTTGGTTGTTAGGCAGGAGGCACCTACTTTCTTCCTTAAAATCGAATCGAATCATTTTGTTTGAAGGTCATAATTTAAAATAAATGTACTCGATGTTTAAGACATGAATACATCCTTGGTTATAATGACCATCAATTAAATTCCCTGCTTTTGTGTCCTTGTTGAACTACACCAACTTTTTACTCCAAACTTGTTTCACTTTAAATAATTTCTACTTGGCGCATTTAAATTGTTATATGTGGCATTTTAACATCAATAAATTATTATTACCTCGTTAGTTTTTAATTAATGTGAACAAAGGAGACCACTGGTAGAAAGACTTGTCAGCTGCTGTTAGATTCTACAACAGCATTTTACATTGTGGGTCTCCAGATCAGCATTTGACAATGGCTTTGTTTCACCACTCAGAACAGGAACAATTTACTTTGTTATCAGCTCTTAACTGTTCCTGCTCCTCAAAACAAATGAAGCAACAGAACTATCAGCATCCTTTTTATTCAGAGTTTAATGGAAATGTCCTAATTTTGAGACACAAGCACACCAATGTAAAATGTACATGTGTGTATACTTTTAGTTCTCTATGAGCAGACGAGTAAACTCTATCTTTGGCGATGCCGTATATAGGAATAATTTTAATTTCTTCAAAGTAAGCTTTTATTCAATTTGAATTATTTAAATAACAATATCTTGCCAAAACCACAATTAAGCATGAATCTGTTCTTATTAAACTAAAAAGTATGTTCCTGAATCTATGCTACATCTACAACTTATCTGGAAGCCAAAGGTCTTTAGTTGCACTGGTAACTGGCTGTTGAGGTTGGCAGATAAAAAAAATATTCAGGAGGATAACAGATTCTGCACTGCACTCTGAAGAACATTAAGAACATTGATTTATGACTCCACAAATCCCTGAAATATTCTGGTAGACAGATGATCGAAGATTGGAATGGCTGTTAAATTTTGATGTGTTTAAATAAGCTAACTTCTCTGTCTCAAAAGCCTGGAAAAGAAGGCAAGATGGGCTATTTAATTAGTATTTACTTTGATTTCTGCAGTATCATGCTTAAAAAAAATTTAATTAAATAAATGGTTTTGTCAGAATTTTGTTGTAAAAATCTGTACTTTTTTGCAGTTAGTTGACTTTTTTGATGGAAGAAATAATCAGATTTGTTACTTTAAGGTCAGGCAAGAAGAAGTAGTAGTAGTAGTAGTAGTAGTAGTCATCCGGTTTGTAAAAAGTAAGAAGAGAAGAGGAATTAGAACAAATGGAGGACCACACGTTTTATTTAGCACAAGAGCCGACAGAGTGTGTCGGCAACCATAGCTTCTCCTATGAGCTTGCAAAGGGACGGGTGAGTGGTGAGTGAGTCTTTGGTTGCAATTCACAACCCTCACCTAGATGCCACTAAAACTTACACACTGAACCTTTAAATATACATGTAAATACCACAATGTAAAAATACTCTGCTACGAGAAAAAGTTCAAAACTGTACTTAAGTAAAAGGGCAGAGGTATTACAAGCAACATGTAGCTAAAGTATCAAAAATCATTATTTAGCCTACAGTTTGGTACTTTAATCAATAACAATGCAACACAATTTGTTGATATATGGATATTAACATACAAGTAAGTAGCTATAGTTTTTAAATCAATGTAGTGGAGTAAAAATTACAATATTAAAAGGTGTGGTATAGAGTAGCCATGTTCTGTCCCCATTTAGAAAGATGGTGTCAGTAATGATTATGTTTTTTGTCCCAAGATGACGGTGAAGAAGACCCTGTCGGAGTTCAGGCGTACTCACCATGATAACTGGCAGGAGCATCGTCAGTGCTTCACTGACGACCAGCTGCTCGTGCTCACAGACCTGCTGGTGTCACCCTGTTACTATGCTTAGACAAGCCAGCTGCCTTCCCAGGTCCCCTACAGACTGACCAGTACCATAGAAAAATAACTACACCTTATAAGACAGTCGGGAACTCCTGTCTTCTGTGCAACCTGTTAAAATAAGTCTGTTAAAATAAGTTGTTGCAGTGGCTGAGAGCCCTGCCTCTGGAACCTCATGTGCCAATGTTGGCCTTCAGTAAACTCAGCAGAAAAGCAGTCCTGGGCAAAATGGTTTCAAATATTTAACTTACTTGGTGTGTTTATATTGTCTCACCAAGCAGCTCAACAGCCCCAAAGGTGGCAACTTTACTTTAGAGATAACCACCCTTTAGGTGTGTTTTTTTGTTGTTGTAGTATATATTCAACCACTGATTTGCCCAGATCTGCCAGAAAGTCAGATCACACTTTGTCATTACAGTGTTTCACTCTACCTACTTTCAAAAGATTTTTAAATAAGTTGGAACTGTCTACTTATTTACTACATACAATATATGATGATATAAATATGTAGAATGAATATAAATGATACATTAAAAGTACTAAATACTACAAACTGTTATCCAAGACTTATCCTGCATTGTGATGTTTCTAATAATGTATAATGCTTAATATTGACATAAATTATGTAACTGATATAAATGTATACACTTATAAGTATATATACACCTATAAGAACTGATCATGTAAAATCACTGCAGTTGACCTGCATACATCTATATCATATAGCTGTCCTCTGCAGATTATGTTCTGCACAGAGACAGAGCTCAAATATGTTTCTTTCTGCATGGATAGTTTTTAGTTTTGTGCCGAACATGTTATGTTGTAAAGAAGCTGCTAAAGGCCACCGCCAATAAACACTGTTAACTGGTTGCAACTGTGTGTGGGAGTGTGTTTAAGAAAGACAGGATCATAGAAAGAGCTGTCACCATCTTTATTCTGCATGTTGATCTTTTCTGATGCAGCCCTGTCGACTTTGATATGTTTACTGTGCTGAGACGTATGCTGGCAGAATGACAAGAAGCATAGCTGGAATACACAAAGTGTACATGTGTGGCTGTACACTGCGTGATTTCAGTAGTATGATAAGATCTGCCCTGAAATTCGGTTTTCATATCAGGAAGAGAGATGGAGGGCATTTACCAAAGCAGGATTATCTGGTTAGACAATCAACTTTGGAAATAGTTATGAATAATGGCACTAAAAAATGTGTTTGGGGAGGACTGATGATGCTCCAAAACTTTATATTCAGCTTTTGTTTCAGGGATTTGAAAACAGTATCATAAATTCTCTGGTGAACCTTGTTCTCTTGTTTAAAAACATTTGAATCATCTAAATAAGCCCAGTAAAATCTGATCAAATTTAATAAATGAATCCTACTAAACTAAACTCAGTAGGATTCATCCTTTGGGAACGATGGATATCTGTACCAGAGTTCAAGGCAATCTATCCAACATCTCTTCATCTTTATGTGTGCACAAAGGTAAAAAATATAGCTCTCCCAACATCATCATCAAAGCCATCTTGAGTTTAACTCTAAAAGGTCCTAAAAACAAATGTTCTCAATCAGGTTTTTGTGTTGAGCGATGAACTCCTACATGAAAACAAAACTTTCTCACCAAGTTGAAACAGTTTTCTCCTGAGAGCTTTCTGTCCGTGTTGTTTTTCTCTGTGCTCTTCACACACACAAGTCTTAATAGTATATAAGGATGTTTTGTTTTTGTACTTTAATTATTGCTTATTTAGTCATGACTAATGTTATACAGAAATAATCAATATTTGAATACAGGTTTTCAAGGACTTTAAATGTGCCAAAACTGCTATGGGCTCCAACTTTAAATGACTGTACATTTTGGGTGAGCCCTACATTTCACTTCAGTTGGGAGAACAGTGCAGTCTTACTTCAAATGCTGAATGTTTTAAAATGGATCAAAACAGACCCCATGCATCTGTGAATGTGATATATTCACTCAATATTATTCTTTCCTTTATGCTGTTGAATATTGTACAAGAAGAAAATCTAAAAGTTTTTCCACAGCATGTTTTGTGATCATTAAACATGTAGTTTGGACGCCAGTTAAGAGTACTTTCATGTATTCGTCATTTTCCCTACTTTGAAGTAGCTTTCATTACATATTATTTGCAGTGTAACGGACAAAACGGTGACATTTCTTTGTAGTGTGACGCTAATGGACAAAACAGACTTTGTCAACTTGTTTTCTGTACCCGATAAATATCCTGATTGGCCCCATGTGTACCTTAAACCCTGACATTATTTGACAAACCCAGCCTGGTTTAATACATTGATCAAGTCTTATTTATTATATAGTTACAATCAGCCCGTTTGAGTGTTTGAGTGTTTCTGCACATTGTGTAGTTGTTCCCTCACTAACGTTTCTAGAGAAAACAGGTGTGTGTCTGAGTCCTCAGGCAGAATTGTCCTCACAGCATTAGCCAGCTGAAACAGGTACTCCGTATTTTGCCCACTTGGACCGGTAGAGCTGACGATCTGGTTGGCTATCTCCTCCAGAGGGGCGGGGCCGAGGTAGTCTGGATTGTCCTGAGAACCGATGTAAAGCAGCGTCTGGCTGGGCGGGGGAGAGAGTGGTGGACGGGGGTGAAAGGTCACTGCGATGACCTGATAACCACCTTTTTCTCGGTAGTCGAGGTAGCTCTTCACTTCCTGCTCCCGGCCCGTCGGCAGCTTGTAGGCGATACCCCAAACGCACCCCTGAGGTGAAAAAAACAGTAGCTTGACATTTGAGGGGAATAATGCAGAATGACAAGCAAAATTCCTTTAACCTTATTTAACTTAATACTAGTAATTAGGGCTGAAACGATCAATCAATACTGTCGATAAACAGAAAATTAATCAACAACAATTTTGATAATAGGTTAATCATTTAAGTCATTTTTTGAGCAAAAAAATCAAAAGTTCACTGACCCCAGCTCCTGCAACATGAATATTTCCTGATTCTTATTCTAGTTAAACTGAATATGTTTGGGTATTAGACTGTTGAACAAGAAATCTGAAGATTTCAACTTGGGCTTTAGAAAATAATGAAGGTAATTGTTTACTATTATCTGACATTTTATTGATCAAACCATGAATTAATAAATTGGGAAAATAATTGGCATAATACTCAATAAAGAAAATTACTATTAGTTGCTGCCCAACTTGTAATAGGTCTGGGGTGATTCATCGAAGTAAGTGTCGTCATCAAGTACGAATATATCAATTTCCATTATGTTTGTCAGTGCGTCACAATGAAGTGAGTTGCCTGGTCTAAGAAGGGATCGCCCCAGAGGACAAGCTGCAGCTAAAAAACCTCGCCTACGACCATCTAAAGTTTGGTGTATTTCAGACAGAGAGACCCAACAATGTGGCGCTCTGTACGCTCAGTAAATTGGAAAAGCCTTACCACAGCAGCAACTGTTAAGCAGGAACACTTAAAGTGAAATCCTCCCTGAGCGCTTTGTCAAGACGGCAGCATCAGCATGACCGCACCGCAGATCCTACCCCTCCTGTCCTGTTACTTAAAATTTATTTTCTAAATGGTTGCTTCATTTCCCCAACGTTAAAAGTAATTTCTGCACCACTGGTGTTATGGTAAATTAACATTACACCATGTGTCATCTAACGTCCGTCCGTTTTTCATTTACTTTTTTTCTTTAATGGCCTCGTATGAGTGAGAAAATTACTTAAACTAATGTGTTGTTCCAATCATTTAAATTATTTTCGTTGTCCCACATTGATACAAAAACATTTGACAGTGATTATCTTACTGCATATTACTTAAGTGATTAAATCAATCCATTTCATAACCATTTAAAGTTTTAAGTCAAGTACTTAAGTAAAAATACTGATTCTCCAGTTCGGGGAAGGGGTTGACATGCAGTATTTAAATGAATTTGAGTGACACAGCAATGCTTTTGACTTTGAGGTCCAGTATTTTTCTGATCCAGCATCTGACAAATAGGGTCTATTAGTATTATTAATATCATAACACAGCAGTGACAAGGAAATTAGACTAATTTTAAAATATTCCATTATTTATCATTATCATTATTCCAATGTGATTTGTGTCTCTTTTTCAGGATGATGACTGAACAGAATATTGAAATATTAATGAAACAAGTTTTTGTTATTTATTGTGGATATATTAATTGTGAGAATAATCAACTAATCAAAAAAATAAACGTTGGATTAATTGATAAAAAAATGTTTGCTAGGTGCAGCATTATTACTCTGTTACTCTTATTCCATATACTATTAGTCCAGCATAATGTGTGTTCAATATTAATGTAATGTAGAGTTGCTTACTCTATAAAATGTCATAAATAGTGGAAAATATCCATCACTATTTCCCAGAGCCCAAGGTGACATCTTCAAATAGCTTGTTTTGTCTGACCAAAAATCCAAAGCCCAAACATATTTAATTTATGACGATATGCAAATCCTCACATTTGAGAAGCTATAATGAGTAAATATTTTTAATTTTTGCTTAACAAATGACCTATGACGTGAATAATCAACTGTCAAAATTGTTGTTGATCAATCAGCTGTCATTAGTTACAGTCCTACCACTGTTTGTACTGATGTCCAGTTTGTGATCACAACCTTCAAATGCTGGAAAGATGATCAACGGTTTATTTTAACCTTATCAGTAACACTTTTAAGATACTCATCAGTCACCTTTAAATACATGTTTTCTAGATGCTTACCATGTTCTCGCTACATTACATGACACGCTCTGTATCTCTCTATCTTTTCCCATCAACTGCAACAAATTATCTCTCATCCAAGGTCGGAATACAATACAGTGTCCTTTCCTTTGTTTCAGCTGTATAAGATGCCATCTCCTTTCCTAAGCTGTACACACGCTCGTTCACCTTGAGTCTTTGTCTCATGGCATGCATGTATGCCAATAAATACAATATCCAAAACCCTTTGACAATCCAAATGACAGTTCTTCAACAATGGCACCGTTTATACTTTCCATATAGTTCAGAAAAACAGGATTTAATCCCTCTGTGTTCAATTCAGTGGAATCTCATTTTTAAACTCTCGATTTTTTTTCTCTGCGATCATTTTGAACTGATATTACAACTGCAATATTAGAGGTGCAAGTCTTCTCTTAATGTTACCCAATAATACAGTGATCTATTGTTGCTGTATAAACAAAATGTGATTTTGTTTGCTTTTCCCCGTAACATGATCTGTCTTCTAATAAAAATATCACATTCATAGCCACAAATTTTATTACTATCATAAAGATCTATATAATTTTTAATAGGACATCTACCTATTAAAAATGACAAATATTTATGACAAGTTAAAAGGGTCTGGCAAATGTGTTATCTCGTGTTTGGAATCAACTGTATACACCTTATTTGAGCACACCTTATTGTTTGTAGACATGTACCTTTTGTTCTTTTTGCATATAACATGTAAAAACACTGTACATGGATGTGACATATTACAAAGAGTTGCAACGATTAGTTGATAAAGCAACAGAAAATGAATCAGCAAGTTTTTTGATTTTTTTTTAGTGGTTTAAGTCATTTTTAAATTAATTTATAAAAAACAACCATTTTTTAAGATGGTGCAAGGAAAATGAATAATTGTGATTATTTATGTAGGTCATTTATCAAGCAGAAATGCCAAAAATTTGCTGTTCCCAGCTTCTCTAATTTGAGTATTTTCTGCAATTCTCTGCCTCGAATTACTGTAAAGTGAATAAATACAGTTTGGAGTGTTGGTGGGACAAAACAAGACACATGAAAATGTCGCTTTGGGCTCTGGGAATGTTTTTTTTATTTACTTTTGTAGATGTTTGGAAAAGTCATTGAAGACATTGAAATTAATTTTTAGTTACAGCTCCATTACAAAGTAATGTATGGTACCATTAAGTTTAGGAGAGTATGTCTTACCTCAGGATCCTCGACCAGTGTCACGACCCGGCCAGGCTGTAAAGGACACAGAAAGAGGAACAAGCACTTTGAAAACAGCAGCAAAATCACATACAGTAAAGCAATCAAGTAGGATTACGTAAAATAGTAGTGGGATACTATACAAATCAACAAAACGGACTATGGACTCTTTATTTGGAAAGGTTATGGGAACAATACAAGCTAACATTACAGTATATATACTGTTTATATACTGTAATGAACAACCTGTAATGTACAACTTAGTATAAATCCCCATAATGAAACATAACAGAAATAACACCACAATGAATGTATGAGGTCTAAATCTTTTTAAAAGATAGATAATGGCATGTGGATCTAAATAGCAATATCTTAAAACATCTCTTTCCTACAGTAACTTTACTTTACTCACCTCTATAAGATATTATTGTATAACGTTAACCTGATGATACTCAATGTCAACAGTCAAATGTGTAGCCTAACGTTACTTACGTTCCTCTCTTTACACATTTAAGTAAAATTCAGATTCAAGTACCAAAACATGTCAGTAACTTATACCATTAAATTACATAATATTAGGAGACTCGGTTTGTGTCTCATTAACGTTATACAAAGCAACACTGAGCTCCACAGACACTCAAACTCAGTATGGCGACGTTTTCACTGGAATTAGCTAAAATCCGGAAACGTATACTCACCTTACCCGGTACTCCCCTGTGGTCGGTACTACCCTGCCAAAACCGACGGCTGAAGCCTTTTATGTAGCCAACTCTTTTTTCCTCATATGGAAAATCCACTTTCCATATGAGAGACCCGTAACCGAAAACCCACATGATAAGACGTTAAGCTAACGTTAACGTAACATCAACAACGATCACAGCTGGACTAACTGGCAACGTTTACGTCTCAGACAGCTAGCTAACAAAGACAGTCATAACATTATAACGACTGACACGTACACCTGCAACAGTGTAGTGTTATCCAACTGTAGTATCACACGTACATTACAGGCCCCTGACCCAAGATCTACCATTAGCCTGTCAAGTCATCTGGATTAACGTTACATAAACACGCATACTTCCGCTTAACAACTTTCAGTATAAACAGCAAGTTCAGGACACATTACACACATTTTGATAACATTAACTATTTAGAGTGGTTCTCGGCAGCCAATACAATACACAATACAATGTCTTTTTTGCATAGCATTTTATTTTCGTTGCGTGTACCGTATCACTATAGGCATGCCATTAAGAGCGCTCTGCTTTTATTTTGAAAGCAAGGCTCCATTCCAGGTGTTTGTAGCTGCTTCAGTAGAGTCCAAGTACATGAGTCTAATTTGAGGCAAATTGTCCAGGCCAAAACACAAAACCCTGTGAAACTATTCTTTGTCCATCTTTTTTCTCCACCAACTCCTTTTCTTTATAAACGGCCATGTCATCGTCATAACCAGAGGGCTGTATAAAGATTATTTTATGTTAAACCTACTACAAGTAGTTTTAACAGATTATGAAACACTATTAAATAGTGATGCTATTGTTGGCCATATCTGCATAGTTATTCTTAACGTCCCCCTCGAAATCAGACGAAGCGATTTAATGCAATGTGACCGGAAGAGCCTATGTTTATGTTTACATTTTCCCAGGCAAAGTTGTGACTAGAATGTAAAAGAAAGCAGGCGAAAATTTTCTTTAGGGAATTTTATTTTTCGCCGTTATATTTTGTGGTTACGCCTGATACTACTAGGGCAGGATCAGCAAAGAGAAAAACTACAGGTCCTGTTTGTAATTTCACCATATTCATGTTACAGTTATCTTACATAGCCACTACCTCACCACTATGCAACCTGCAAACAGCTGTGTTTAAAATAGAAAAATAGTAAGTTGAGCCTTTCTTATACTGACCTTTCTAAACAAATGCACATGCGATCAAGATCTTTATGACAGGAGGCTGTGGAAACACTACCACTTTTGTCCGCAGGGACCGACACAAAATGATGAATGATGAATGAATTTTTAATCTGAAAAATGTTTATCTCTAAGTATTCTGTTTAAACCAGACAAGCCATAAATCATATAGCCAGCCTCTTAGATTTGATTTCCACCTAGGACTTCCTGTATTTCTGTAACTGACATATAAAAGAATAAGCGGCAACCTCTTACCAATAAGTAAGTGCCTTAAACCTGCATTCTTTCTAATGGACAGCAGGGGCGACTCCACTGGTTGCAAAAAGAAGTCTGATTGCATTGGAGTCAATGACAATTTACCCTACTTTTAACTTCATTTATTACCTTAGTAAAAATTTTACTAATGAGTTTATGGTCTCAAGCGCTGGTTTGAAGTCTTCTTCAATACAGTATGATGTTAATTTTGTAAATTAAGCACTTAGCCTACAAAAATTAAAAGGAAAAAACAGGAATTGTTAATTGAAAAGTGTTAATTATTTTCAGTAAGTAGGCTACATTTGGCTTTAAGCCTGTTTTTACCTAGCCAAAATTAGCATCACAATTAATATCACAGTTAATGCGAATTATGGATACACCTTACTTAACCAAGCTAGCTGACTTCATCCTCTCCTCAATATGGTCACTTCTGGTTTCAAAAAAACAAGATGGTGATGGCCAAAATGCAAAAATAAAAGCTTCAAGGCTAATTTAAGAAATTTATGAAACAATTGTCTTCTTTTTTATGATCTGAAAGTCCTATGGATGAATGTGTCCCAAAATGTTAGATCTCCTTGTCAGCTAACTTTGTAATGCACCCAGTTATTAATGAATGTCTACTTGTGCCTTTGCATGTGTTAAAACATGAACTGGGACAAATAACACAGAGAATATAGGCTTCCATCCTGACACCAGGGGGTGCAAAGTTACTATTATCCTCAGTGGATCAGTGTGTGTTCTCCCAAATAACATGCTCTTCATGTATGCCATGCAAGCACTGATTCAGAACCAAATATAGTGGACAGCAACAATCTGGCATATAATGATTGCTCCATTTACAGCAGCCGTGCTGATTCTTCTGCCTCTGAGAGAGGCTAGTCAGCAAACCGATTTTATGTTACTTACTAGCCTTGTGTTCGGAGAGGCATGTCTATGCTTGAAGTCCACAGCTGGGCTGGAAAATTCTGCTGAAGAAACATCTGCCAGAAATAAACCCTTGTCAAGACACCAAAACCAAACCTGGTGCAGTAGAGCCGGTCACTGGTCAACACAACAGCAGGTGGGAATGTGTGTAACTGTGTGAGTGTAAAGTGAAACGACTATCACAGGTTTCCCTGCTCTTGAAAATTACAGCCATAAGACTTCCTGTTTTGTAAATGCAGTAGTTTAAAATAGTCCATGTCCCCTACTGTGAAAATAATGAGCTGTTTATATTAACTGTAACCCTCTACAGAGCTACACAGAAGTGTACGTACTGATGTGGACAAATAGGCTAAATCCTGCTCCAAATATATTAAACTAAATTTACACATGATTGTTATCTCATTTATATGTGGATCAACAGCACAAAAAGCTTATAAAGTATCCCGTGGGCTTACAGTATTTGTCTTTGACAGCTGCACATTTCTTGGGTACATTCTTATTTAGTCTTTTTCTGCTGTTTCTGGCATATATTTTTATTATGATGATAAACAACACACATTTTGGGAAATATAAACAGTCCCCTGTACAGCCTGTTTGTTGGCTAAAAGAAGAGGCCGTTTTTATGATGAGGAATATGTTTTATTTGCTGGGTTGAAGAACGTGCAGTGCAGTATGAGTATATGCATTCACTAGGTGAATTTGGCAAATGTGTTATCTCGTGTTTGGAAGATAGAAAACAAAGATGTTGCGTTAAATGTGACAATAACTTAAGAGGAATAAATGGGAATAGAAAGTACAATTTCTTCTGTCTGCTTTTATCACTACGAAAAGCATTTTCTTTTTTTCAGCAGTCTGTAGCTTTCAATTTTAATACAGACAATAAGTAATTAAATGACTTCAAAAATCCAAATTAAATACTGTAATCCACTCTTTATTCCTGATGTAATCAAAAGAGTCACTGTATCAACACAATTATCAAATAAGTCATTATACCAAAACAATTAATCAGTGCTGGTATGTAGGTGGCTTTGCCCTTGTGTCTTCCTTCATTAGTGTTTTTCTCCCACTCTCCATATATGTTACATTAACTTAATTTTTCAGTCTCTTCTCCTTGTGCTCCACTTCTCTTTGTGTTATTTCTCCAACTCCAGAGCTGTTGCTAAACATTCTTGTTCTTTTCTTGCAGTCTTCTATTTATTCATTGAGGAGATGGCCAAGATAGAAGGATTTACTCCACCATTTTCTTCTTTATTTTACTTATTTGTACTAGCTTACTTTCATTTAGGAAAGTCTACATTTTGCTCATCACATCTCCTTCGATATGTCTTGCATTTAAAGGGATACTCCACCAATTTTACACATCAAAGTCAGTAAACATGAATTAAGAAGTGGACATGACATAGACTTGTGAAGGAAATATCATGGCTTCCAGTCTGTTAGCAGTTTCCCCAGCAATGTTTAAATAGACCTCTTCATGCAGATGACCAGATAGTGGCAAGCGCACACATCTAGCAAGCAAATCCCTTCCTGATTCAAATCGCTATGAACAGCGGCCTCCTGGGTGAAAGTACTGTGTTTGACCCATCCATCCTCGCTACACAGACTTTGTCGCTTTAACCTTGCTTGACTTGCTCCTTTGCTTCCATTACCTTTACTACAGCCACAAGAGGTCACCGCCTAACAATAAGCGTAAATGTGGGTCGTAAAAAGCTGCTTGCACAGACGACCTATGCGGCCATGTTTTAAGGGAGGACAGTCTGCTTTACCTCCTTAACCTGGCTCTTTCCTCTCTGGTTGAGCTTTTGAAAAGAGATTTCTTCAGTTCAGAATTTCTTTTTTCCACCATCCACCTACACGATCATCTAACTAACCTCCACTATTTAGTTGTTCTCCTGCGGCAATTGAGGTCTAAAAAACCATCCAAAGGTCTTCTCTGTATTGACTCAATCTTGCAGCAGTGGTTGCACACAAAAAAGCTCTTGAACCTCTGACTCCATCTCAGCAGCGATAGTGAGAAATTGGCCAGCTGAGCCATAAAAGTCCACTATATGTAGAGAGCAGAGTTGAGTGGGCCATTTTGGGCTCTGATGCCTCACACTGTTTGATCCTGAACTGCTCATATGACTCCTGAGATTTCTCTTACTGGCTTGCATACAGGGTCTTTGAATGCAGCCACATCTATCAGTACTGTTGTACTTTCCTGAGAATGTGATTATTCTGGGTACAACAACTAATGATGACGTGAAGGACTAAGATAAGAAAGTCATTATTAGCAAGTCAATATTATCTATTTTGTCTCAGTTTTTAAACTGAGACTGCAAAACCCTCATTTGTAAAAATGTTGGATCAGCATAATTCCTCTGTCTTAAAACTCTGTAGATGTAATAATAGAAATTATGATCAAATAGAAAGTTTCATAGATAAATGCTGTGTTCTCCTTTGTCTTAGCAACAATAAAAGCCAATCATTTGGAGACCATTGTATTATAAAGTTGACGTTTCTGCCAAAAAAAACCCCTCACAAGACAAAAGCGATCACTTGTCTTAAGAAAGGTCTTTTGACTGACCTTCTGGCAATAAAAGTGAAGAAGCAGAGGTGATTCTGATTCTGACTCTTATATATTTAGTTTTCTGCATGACTAAGACAAGAGCTATATCCATGTTATTAATTTTCTATGAAAATTAGCCCTTTCTGTACACCTAAATTAGATTACAGCTGATCTTAATTTGTTTTATAATAATGAACCACAGGCTACTTTTCCTCATTTACTGATATCCAATAGTAAAACCTCTGTCAGCAGTTCAGTTAGACATCGCTTTTTTCCTTTCATTTCATTTTTAAGTTAGATAAATGAAATGTCTAAATTGGGGTCATTGTAACCTCAGAACATTTTTATTAAGTGTCCAATCCCCCAACTTGAATTTTTATTCCTCCTGCATGTGGTGAGTAACCAGAGAGATGCATACTCCTTACTTGGA